CAGAGAAGAAAAAAAAAGCATCACTTCGAACATTCTGGTAGGGCTTTTACACATGCCTCCTCATTGATTTTGAAGCCTTAGGCGAGACCAACTTGATTCTGTGTTTTACATTACCCCCCAGCGTCCCCCCTCTCCCTCATAATAAAAAAAAATTAGATAAATATATATAGGGCTTCGGACTATTTCGGAAAATTTTTATACAGTCACGGAACAATTCGGAAAATTTTTTTTCAAAAAAAAAAAATTTTTTAATTTTACTATGTAAACCACAAATCCCTCCCTCCCCCCCTCCTCCGGAGGGGAGAGAGGGTAATGTAAAACACAGAATCAAGTTGGTCTCGCCTTATATTCTATTTGGTTAACCCTTTTTACTATTCTTCATTTACAGCTTTCGCTTCTGCAGCAAAATCAAGAAAAAGAGAAGCGTTCACGCCATTTTTCTTATTGTCAAAAATCCCAACCTCATTACCACAATCGCTTCATTTTCCACGGCCACACGCTTATCCAAAGAGAGGATTGTTGAACCATCGTTCGATTTCGCGGTCATTGTATTAATCAGATTAACCGGTATTACCCTTTTCCTTTTTTAGATTTAACGTCAATCGCAGGCTTGCTTGTGATCGTCGCTTCAATGGGATTTTGCACATTCATTCACGGGCTTTCGACGTTCGTACTACGGTCCAATTTCAGGTCTCTTGGAGTCGTCATTTCATGAAAATTCGGGGGCATCAGGTGGACACGATTTCGCCAGTAACAATAGGTCAATTTATATCAAATTAACCAATAAGATTGCAGCATTAATTTATATCTAATATTATTGTTTTTTCTCTTAATTTCCCACCCCCTTTTACGAGTCATGTTAAACTGAGAATCAACTTGGCTTGGCCATATAAATACGTACATATATGTATTAACGTTTATTATAAAACCTTACGTCTTATAAAAGTCACGAACAGAGATCATTAGAGATAGGTCACCACAATTCACTTGCAATATGGTCTAGTTGTTTGGCGATTCTCATATGACATAAAACTCTCGTGTAACATTTATGCATAAATTGAACTTCCGTCATGTTTTATAAAAATTAGATTGGTTAGCTATTTTTAACTAGCCAATTCAATTTTTAATACGTTTTCTTATCAGTTGATATGTTATCATATGAAGAAATTCATCTGATTGGTTTATTTTTTTTAAAGATCTACCCGTGGTAATTAACCAATCAATCTGCATAATTTTTACATAACCTCGTATACGCAAAGGATACGTAGATACACAAAATGGATAAAAATGGTAGTACGTATTTATCAATACGTAGATACAACTAATCTCAAGGCCAAAAATGATGAGCTTAAAGCTAGAGTTGCAAAATTAAAAGAAACAGTGCAAAAAATAAGACCCGGGGTACAACTATATTGATTTACCACTTTTAATATGATATATATCTCTCCAAATATAGTACCCAGTTCTTCGTAGAGTTCCTGAATAAGTCCCTGGGTACTTTAGGCAGTGGCAAGCAGTATTTTGATATAGACTTTAGATTTCAAAATTTTGGCAACACTTTAGGTTTCAGAAAAATCATTTAGTTTAGGATTTCAGCATTAGTTTTGAATTTCAGTGTTAGTTTAGGATTTAAGCATTGGTTTGGTATTTGGATATCAGTTTGGGATCTCGGAATTAGCTTAGAGTTTCACCGAAACTCGAAACCTTTAGGTTTGAGAAAATAGGTTACGGTACCCAACACTACTTTTAGTAAAAGTTACGTAATATTCAACATCGTCCTTATGTTTACGTATTCATTTAATATTAATCACTTGGAAATATTCTGATAGATCCATCATGACATGAATATTCGCACTATATATGAGTACCGCCAAGAGATAACCCGTAAATCTTATATAAGATTTGCGGGGTTTTCTTGGCGGCACTCATATACTCATATAATGACTTCGAAATGTAATCATGTCTTGTCAAAACTCAATATACACAACTTTTACGATTAGCGGTGAGATTATTGAGATATTTTTAAATCAATCAAGTCCAACTACAATAGCATTTACAAAAAAGGCTTATAGAATTACTTCGTCACTACGTATTTCTATAACTATTAATTGTTTTGGTAATATGTTAATTCTATAATTCCATAAAAGCATATAAACATTTCACCGCAGAGACTTATTCAATAACCCCACTTTTAAAATCGAATAATAGCTGGCATTATTCATTGCTTTAGTGATTTCTTAATAGGAGAAAGGTTCGCCTTATTTAGAGAATTTGTGTTACATAATCTCATGACTGACTAAAGAGTCTTCCTTGTTCTTCCGACCAGTCCGATTATTATTGTTTGTGCCACGGATGCGCCGCAATGACTAACTGTCTAAAAATGTTTCATCATTTATATTTAAATATAACCATTATTGTTACCTTTTATATCTGTATGACATACAATTTCTACTTTTAGATCATTTAAATTTGTGATCAAATTTTGGGGGTTAGTGTGACCTCTAACAGATAAAAGATAGCGGTTGAGACGATAGCAAACCGTAAAAATCAATTTCATTTTTGCCGATTAGAACAAATAACGGTTAAGGTTAATTTCTATTTCTCAAACAATATGTTCATTCAACCACAACAAGGTCAAATAATGGACAAGCTGCAGCAGGTCAGTATTACATAATGGGATAAGTTCGAAGATGACCAAAGGCTTTTGTCGACTTTCAAGACTAAATTACTAACGAAAAATAACCAAAAACAATTTGATATATCGAATGACACCGAATGATATCTAATGTTGTCTTTTAAAATTGAACTTTATCGACTGATTTATCATACAGAACCTTGTTGAGAAGAGAAGACCCAAACGAAAGTCATTCGGAAATGAAAGAGATAAACGAAGAGGAGAGTTCGAATATTCAAGGGTGAGTTGAGACAAATTATAAAATAAATGCAGATATCTTTTTCGGCATTTTTTATATTAAAAAAAAAAAAATGCAGGCAAATGCCTGCATTGCCTACAATAAAATGCAGACACCGCAGGATGTTTATAAGATGATCACGTGCATTTGAACCCGTTATATGAATGACGCAAAGGGAAAACCCGACTTTGAGTTTTTAAATTTATAACTTACTGGACTTAATCCTTGGAAAAGCCTAAATAATTGAGTCCGGCAAGATATAAATTAAAGACCCGGAAGTCGTGGTTCATTCATATGATAGCTAGTGGCTCAGGCAAATTGCCATAATTAAATGTAAGAGTCGTAATTAATGATGTAATTATGCCCTTACTACTAAGGATGAGTGCCACCAAGGGAAAACCTGTCATCAGGTTTCAAGTTTATCGTTTACCAGACTCAGTCTATCTGATTTTTTAGAGATTGTATTGTGTCTGGTAACTTATAAATTAAAAATCAGATGGATGACAGGATTTTTCCTTGACGGCACCCATATGGTAACGTGTTCTGCGTGATAAATACTTA